TTCATAAAAATACATAAACATAAAATAAACGCAAAAAACTGCTTGAACTTAAACTAAAATTAAATTGAACAGCATTAAATACAAATAGATAAACCCCATAATAACAAATCCTATATGAATAAAATAAGCAATATGTATAAATTTAAACAATTTGAGCATAATTTATAATCTAATAAAAGTGAAAATTTGTAATAACTCCTAGGTTACAAGTTGCAAAACCACCCGTGGGGCTAAAAGCACATAATACCTATAGAGGCATCGTCAATCTGGCGCAGCAGCATATTATTTACTGATTGGAGAAGACAGGTCGCCTTATGTACAAAGGCCAGTCAATCAGCGGAACGGTTGGCAGGGAACCATATGGGCTATGGAAAGATAAATATACTTATTCAGCGAGAACAATAACAAGAGTGAGAGCGGAATCAAGGGCAACTAGCACTTTTACGTAGTGGAGGTCTTAACCACCATTGAAAGAAGGGGCAGAAATCCACCCCATTCATACGGGGAATTCCCGATGTTTCCGGTGGTTACATGTGCCACTGTTCCATTTTATTTATGAAAATTGTAATTACCTGCATAATCACTATATATGGATGAAGGATTTACCTAGAAATCTGGGACCGATGTTCAAAATATTTAAATTATTCTTTATATCCTTTTTTATCGCGCACGGTCTTTGTTTGTTTTATTCAGTCGTAACTAAATATTTTACTAAGTTTTTAGTTTCATGAGTTATGAATAATTAATCCGTTTTTAAACTTTAGTTTATTTGTGTATTTGAACTCGCAATCTATGAACACGATTTTTTTTTTTGATTCCTGCCACTGCTCCGTAATGTTGAATATGAGATCAGCTGCAATCGCCGAATATACCTTTGACACGTGTTCGGTCAGAACACATGTTCTTGTTTGTTCTTTTCCCCTTTTCCAGCGCATCATCTCCTTTATGCTGGCGGCTTCATCACGCGAGATCGGCAAGTGCGAATTGTAGATAATGGATAAATTTTTAAAAGAGGCACAGTAGGTGCTGAGAAAAAAGGCTAGTGGCGTATATTGAATTTTTCGGATATACACGTACATATAGAAAAAAACACATACTAAATGCATAATATGTATACATATAGATAAAAACACATACTAGTTAATACATTTACTTGTTATATTACAATTATTATCATTTGAGTTATTGAAATTTTTGAATTTTTTTCGGTATAAAAGAATAATATAAATAGGTATTAGACGAAAGTATTGGTAAATACATTGTCTATATAGCTTTATGCTCATTAATATACAATGTGATTGAAATCCCGAAGGATACCATGCAAGAGTAATTCATTTTGGTTAGGGGACCGTCCAAGGATAGGAATCACGGTAAAGTCCATGGCTGCATCTGAGAATATGTAGATGGGGGTGGGCTGACTCCACCAGACTTGGCCTCATGGACAGATACCTTCTTTTGCTTATTGTTTTTTTCTCCTAACATTATCTTGTAAAACGATTTTCATCACGTGTCATGAAAGTTGGAGTTTGCTTATGTTACTTCCAAGTAAGGAGGTTGGAGCAACAATGCACCCAGCGACGAGCTAGCCTGGGATGCAAGCGTACCACAATTTTAACTGAACTTACACCAAAAAACATTTACGTAACAAACGTACTTATTGGTAAAACCCCGGCAAAGACATACACATTACAGAACTGACGCATTTCAGTTCGGGTATTAAATAAATTGGAATCACAAATTACACACTGAAAAGAAACTGTAATACAACATCTAGAAGTGGACGTCATCAATAACTGCAAAAAACTACCTAACTACTGGAAGGCAAATACTAGCATAAGACTAGTCTCAACTACTGACGTAGAATAAAAAAATATTAATTTTTCTTTATTAAACTAAAAAACGCGGTTTCTTTTATATTATATTTACACTGATTTTATTTCGAATAACGCACATATGTACAAACATACTATATTTCGGTAAAGCAAGCGAATAATTTAAAAACATTGTAAGCTTGTTATTTATAACAAAATACAGACAGTTTTTCTTGAAAATCTTTGATTATTTGCTGTTTGGCTATTATTGGGGTAATGGAGGAGTGAGTAATGCCTTCTTTGACAGTAGACGCATGTAAAATTTTTCTTGCAATCTATTTCGATGTGAGAGCACGCCAAACAATTTCTACAATAATCTTTTATGAACTTGTTCCGATCAGGGACGGAAAGTTCTCTAAATTTAAAGCACATCATAATGGAGTGGTTTAAATTACAGAGTTTGCATGACACTGGTCTTCTTGACTCAGTATGTAGTGTGTGCATTTTATTCCTATTCAAGAAGGTGGAGTTATGTGTCGGCCTGTGAGTTGGCCTAGGGATGGAGTCTGGAATTTGAGGTTTCGGAGTTTTTGGATTGAGTTTTTCCAAAACTTTAAAACGAGTTGTCAAGAAGTTGCTCATTTCAGACCAGAGGGATAGGTCTCTTCTGTTGCAAACTTGCTGTTCCCATAGAGACAGGGATTCTCGAAGTAATCGAGAAGTGCATATGCGCACCAAGAGTGGGCTCCAGTCGAGTGTGGAAACTTGGTGAGATTTGAGGATGTAGAGACTATTTGTTATCGTAAGATGGAGCTTTTGAATTTGCTCCGCGCTCTCCACTGGGATTTTTTTGAGATCTAATAGGGTATCTATTTGGTTATCTACTAGTAACCGGAGGTTTTCATATCGGGATGAGAGTGCTTGCCACGCAAGCTCGAAATTCAAGTCGCTTACCGAATACTGTTCAATTACCCGTACTGCTTCTCCCCGTGTCTTCGTCTTCAGGTAAAACGACTTTTGTGCATTCGATAGCATGGGATGTTCTATATATACTGCTGTGAAAAGGTCTCGGAAGGCGGGCCATTCTTCATAACCTCCATAAAAGGGACTTGTGTCACATGCAGGTAGTTTAAGGTAGTGTTGTGAATTGGGATGGGGTTGAGTTTGCGCTGTGGGCTGCGCTTGGCTTGTTAATGTGGGGGTTTCCGGTTTATTAAATCCTTCAAGTGCTTCACTTATCCGGATTATCGTCAGCAATGCGTTGCTGAATGAAGTCTCGTACTCCTCTGCGCACATAATCCGAGTTTTCTCATCCACTGAATCGCTAAGCTGCATGATGTTGTGAGTTGTGTCCACCTTATCTGTTAGCTTATCCAGATGATTCTTGTAATGCCTGACTGCTACTACCGTTTGAAGAGTACTACAGTTGCTCCACCACTTCTCGCAGAATTTCTCCATTGTTGAGAGTTCATGAAGGAATCTTCTGTTTAATTGTGAGATTTTCTCCTCTGCTTGAGATTTGGGCCGTGTGCGTGGTCCTGTTGGGGTTTTATCGCCCGACATCTTATTTTAAGTTGGAGTCGTGGAAAACGGAAATGTGTTAAAAATTGTTTTTTTTTATTTTTATTTTTTTTGTATATAATTTTATGTTATTTATAATATTGTTTAATTTTTAATGTTATTTTATTTGTAGTATTATTTTATTATAATATAATTGAATTTAAAATTATTTATTTAAATTTTTATTAATTTTTTTATTTTTTAAATATTTGCTCTGTCCCAATTTATTCGGAGCGTACTATGTTTTTGGGTGGCGTAATAATGTGGAACTGCACTGTCTCAGCGCTTCTGAGTACAGGTATGTATGTATATATGTATAATGGATAAATGTGTGTATATATGTCGTGCATTCAAATAGTAGAATGCATGTGTACTGACCGCTAGCTATTGCGAATAGGGAAGGAGTGAAAATAGCCGGAATGCAAAAAAGGGAATTACTGCGCACTGCATATGTAACATGTATGTATATTGAGTGTATGTATATATGTTTGCTCGGCTGTTGTGGAGCGGACACCTCGCTATTGGAGTAGTGGTATGAGCAACTGTGGGTGGGTAATACAAACACACTGGTTCAGTTGTGGTGCTGTTGAAAGTTGCTTGGGACCAGTTGGCATGTATGTGCGATGAGATGTATATGCATGTGTATGTTAATAAATGAGACGAGTAAAGGAGTACTCACTTTAGCATATCCTTGTATTTTTACAACCCGTAATAATTGTTGTGTGAGCGGTTTGGATTCTGGCTTTTTGCGGGTTTTTGTTGTTGATCAGCCTCCTTGCGGTTTCTTTCTCTTTTTTTTTTGTTATTTAGCGACCGTTTTTCTTCTTTTTCAGCGACCGTTATTTATATACATATATTTTTAATTTTTTTTGTATGTTTTTCCCACTTCTTTCAGCGACCGTTTCTGATATTATATATATTTATATAGATCGGTATTTATGTATATATTTTGTTTTCATCTATCTTTTTTATTTTAACTTTTAATTTTAACTTTTTTTGTATTTATGCATATATGTGCCAATATTTGTATTTTTCCACTTTTTTCAGCGGCTGATGTGTTCAATTTTTGTATATATGTTCACTTTTTTCTTTTTATATTTATTTCACTGAGCCACTTTTCGTGCGTTTAAAATTTTTTATTTTACTGACGTTGAATAAAAAAAATTATTAGTTTTGCTTTATTAAATTAAAAAACGCGGTCTTTTTTTTATTATATTTACACTGATTTTATTTCGAATAACGCACATACTTGTATGTACAAACGTACTATATTGAGGTAAAGCAAGCGAATGATTTAAAAACACTGTATTATTTATAACAAATATGTAATTAATAAAAAATTCCTAACTTAGCTTAGTTTTACATTAACGGGAAAGGAAGGGAAATTTCGTTTTCCGTTTTTCCTTCAATTTTCTTTGCTTTACAGGAATTGGAAATTAAGGTACGTATTCCAGTGGAAAAAGGGTGAGTATTTCAGATTAGGGTAAACAATTAAAGGTAGTATAAAATTTTTTATATGTATATATATATATACATATATATATATTTATTTATTTTTAATTTTAATTTTTCTTTCAGAACTCTATGAGATCAAGTCTTCAACATGCCGATGAGGCAGCGTGTGATGTGCTAGTCCGCATCGACGGCAACTGTCTGGGGAGTCGCATGCTCCGGTGGTGCGATGTGCTTTTGCGGACTCATACCTCTCGTCGGGCGTCCTCGCCAGGAAACCACGACAGTATCGTAGGGAATGTGGGCGGCAGCATAAACGGCACTTGCAGATGTCGAGTATTCTGTAATTGTTGTAAATGGTCGAGAAACGTTATAAGTTTGAGATGGTTGTGTAGAGGGACTCGTATAAATTTGGGAGAGGGGAGAGTATATGTTTGGAGGGAAATGTGCTACGCTGGTGGTAGTACGCAGAGATTAGTGCAGACATTTTGATCGGGGTCGAGATGGAGGCTTACAATTCGACCTAACTTCCATTCGTTCGGTGGTAGAAGGTCATCTTTAATGATGACGAGATCTCCTTCGCGCAGATTGGATTCCTGTCCTTTCTATTTATATCGTTTGTGTAATTCTTGCAAATATTCTGTCTTCCATCGTTTGCTGAATTGGTGGTGTAGAACTTTCAGCTTTTGCCATTTGTTTATCAGTGACACATTTTCCGAGCTTGGTTCTGGGATTCAGTGTATGGGGGCTCCGCGGAGGAGTTAGAGTTTCTGGTGTTAGAGTGTTCAGATCATCTGGGTCTTGCGACATTAGGGAGATCGGTCTGGAGTTTAAGACCACTTCAATACGCTCACTCCATAAAATTAGCTCGTGAGGTGGCAGATCGGCCGGGTCAAAAAGCTTCGTGACTGTAGAAATTGTTGTGAAATTGTAGAAAGTCATGTTCTTATGACTAGGTATGGTGCACAGTTCATACCAAACGTTACTCTTTTCAATTTGTAGTCTTCTACTGGGCTATTTTGGGATTTGCGAAAGAGAATCCGTTGGAAGTCTTGATCTTCCTTATGGACATATATCTGACGACAATTTTTTTCAATATCGCCGTTAGAAACATACTTATATAGCCGCCACCTGATTATTACGAGCATAAGATCATTTTGCGGTATGAGGCCTGTATGCAGTATGTTGTTTAGGTAGAGACCTGAGTGAGAGAGTTTAGACGCGTTGAATACCACTCGGACTTTAGTGGATTTGCTATCGGGTTTTATTACTGCGTGATGTGGCAGATAGTTTGAGAAGTATTTGCCGTCCCGTATGATTTCTTGGGAATTCATTCGCTCCATATGATTGAGTGCTTGGTATTCTTCAAGGACCTCTGCATAGATTTGCTGAGCTAAGAGTCTTGAGTGACCTAAAGCCATCGAGTTGGGAAATTCAGGTTTGAAGGGGAGTTTTACCACATATCGACCATCATTTCTCCGGTAAGTGGCATTCCGATAGCGATCCTCGCAGATAGTGTCTTCATCCGTCTGTGTCTGGGCTTCTGGCACTTCTTCCTGTTCCCAGAATTTCTTCAGCAGATTACCTAAGAGGTCGGCCATGGTCTCGATTAATTGAATACTGAATGAAGTAATCGGTCGTGCTACAGGTCCGCATAAAATCCATCCAAAGATGGTATTTTGGGCTATGAGACTTCCACCGATGTCGTTTTTAAGGTCTGGGACTTGTATTTTTGGTAGGATATCACTACCGACTACCATGTCGATTTTTGCTGCAGCGAAGCGGCTAAGATCTGCTAAAGGTAGTGAGGCATATCGTTTGATATCAAGATATGTGATCTTGAAAGACGGCAAAAATTGGGTTAGCTGTAGAAGTATAAGCACTTGAGTTGCGATTTTTTTGATTTTCCTATCGTTGGAGCATATTGTTAATGAACAAATTTTATTTGAATGTCGTACTGTGTGTCCGACCATTTGGTAGAGTCTCGTAATGAGTTTTTGTTGTTAGAAGTCCGAGTAATTTTTGCACACGAGAGGTTATGAAGGTTTTTTGCGGCCTTCAGCACACTTACCCACTCTGGGTAATCTGCAGACCTCCACGGTCTTACGGAGCTCCCCACAGCATGATTCCCTCCATTCTCCACCCCCATCCCCACCCACAACCAGCTCCTCATCCTCCTCCCGTGCGAGGGCTACCCAGCAGCTCCTAGTCCCCCGCACCGTCTGTTCCGTGTGTCAGACCATAGTGCGTCGGAACGTGACCTCAGTCAGATGCAACTTTTGCTCAGGCTGGTGTCACTTTCGGACGTGCTCTGGCCTGCGCACCACCCGTGAGTGGAGCGATGCGCATGTTGCCCCGTGCTGTAGAAGTCTGCCCCCGCATGTCTCTACAAACCCTCCGTCAACCAACACCAATGAGCGGAACCAACTCTCGCGGGTAGTACAGCAGCAACACACACCATCCACGCATCACTCCCTCACCCCCCGAATCACGAACGTTCCCCCGAGACAGACCCGACTTCTACAATTCAACTGCAATGGACTCCAGGGAAAGATTGACGAGATAGTCGACTATATGAGCCGGGAGCACCCGTCAATTGCTGCGATTTTGGAAACCAAGTTGACCGCCCGATCAGATCTTCTAAACAGGGCCGGATACAACATAATCCGCAAGGATCACGAGCGAGACCATGGTGGGGGCTTAGCGTTCATCCTGCACAACACCGTGCAGTATCGTCTCATCGATAGCGACATCGACCACAGGGATATTACCCTAGAATGTCAGGGCATAGCTATCCGGTCGGGTGATGTCGAGCTCGAAATATTCAATATATACATTTCTCCAGTTACAAGTTGCCCAGCTGGATACATCACTGATATAGGTGCGCTACTCAGGGGCGAAACCCGTTTGGTTTTGGGCGACTTTAACGCGCATCACGATCTTTGGCATTCTAGCCTGTCAAATGACCGTAGAGGAATGGAGCTGGCGGAACAGATAGACGATTCGACATTCTGCACAATGAACGACAACACCCCCACCAGAGTTATAGGTAATTGCCAAAACTCGCCAGACATAACAATTGCGAGCGCTGGTCTGATGAACAGTATAGTCTGGCGACCTATACTGACGTTAGCATCGGACCACTTGCCCATACAAATCGCGATTGACAGGCCTCCCGACTTTGTTTCCGCGGACCACCGGACATTTGTTAACTTTGAAAAAGCTAACTGGCCCGCATTCACGGAATTTACCGAGAATGCGTTCAAAGCTCTTCCCACTCCAACTGACGTCACCGCTGGTGAACGCTCATTCCGCAGGGTCGTCGTAACCGCTGCCAACCGCTTCATCCCGGCAGGCCGAATCGCGGAAATCCGCCCTAATTTTCCGACAGAAGCGGCGGTACTAGTAACCAGGCGCGACACCCTCCGAAGCTCCGATCCCGTGAATGCCCTAATCAGGGATTTTAACGCGGAGATTCGAAGAGTTGTTAACAGTCATAAGCGGAAAAAGTGGGAGGAGCACCTAAGGACCTGCAACCTCTTCTCTGGGGCAACCAAGCTCTGGGCTACAGTGCAGTCTAACCCGACGAGACGCGATGAGCGGGTGGAAATTTCATTCGGTGGTCGCGCCTCGTCGGACCCGAAGAGATGCGCGAGCTATTTTAGCCGACTTTTTACATTGCATCCCTCGGTAGACAAAGCGAAACGACGTGTGACCCGCCGCATGCGAAAACTGCCAAACACCACCGCGGTGCTTGATTTCTCCAGGGAGGAGGTTCAGGGGGTCATCGGGAAGACGAAAGCCTCCAAATCCATCGGCCCTGACGGAATAAGCATGCTGATGCTGAAACATCTTGGACCAGCGGGAGCAGACTTTCTCGCGAGGGTCCTCAATTTGTCTCTGACCACCCTGAAGATACCCGACGTGTGGAAAATGGGTAGGGTGGTCCCGCTACTTAAACCGGGGAAACCAGCCAACAAAGGAGAGTCCGTTCGGCCGATAACTCTCCTCTCCCCAGTAGCGAAGACACTTGAGGCCTTACTGCTCCCGACCTTCACTCACCATCTGCGTCCAGCAGCGCATCAGCATGGCTTCCGAAAAGTGCACAGCACCACAACAGCACTTAACGCCATAAACACCCAGATAGTCCATGGCCTCAACCAAAACCGACCCTGCGCGCGAACTGTCCTAGTAGCCCTGGACTTGTCAAAAGCTTTTGACACAGTCAATCACTCAGTGCTATTAACGGACATTGAGGAATCCTCATTACCGCCGGGGTTGCAGAGGTGGGTCATGGGCTACCTGAGTGGTCGACAATCATCGGTAATATTCCGAGGTAAAACATCTAAACCCAGAAAATTTAAACAGGGGGCTCCGCAGGGTGGTGTCCTCTCCCCGCTACTGTTTAACTTTTATATATCGAAACTCCCTCCACCACCAGAGAAGTTTCCCTAACCTCGTATGCCGATGACTGTACGATAATGGCGTCCGGCCAGGATATTGATGACCTCTGCTCGAAAGTAAACGGCTACCTCGCTCCTTCACTCCGCATACGACCGCAATTGTCGCAAAACTCCAGAGCCGCAACAAAATACTCAAAGCGCTAGCCCGCAGGACCTGGGGTAAAGATAAAGAAACTTTGCTGGCTACTTATAAAGCAATTGGCCGGCCGGTCGTAAACTATGCTGCTCCGATCTGGACGCCGGGGACGAACGAGACGCAGATGAAGAAGCTACAGGCTTGCCAAAACACCGCCCTCAGGACTGCGACAGGAAACCTCCTGAAGTCGCCGGAGCATCACTTGCACAGGGAAGCTACGAGTTAAGGAGCATAATGCTTTGCTGTGCAAGCAGTTCCTATTGGGATGCTAACGCAGGGATCACTTTGTTCACTTTTTTATAAATTTATTACATTGAACCATTTTTCGTGCGCTTTAAAATTTTTTATTCGGGATTATCGCTTGCTTATGCGCCGTTTCTCGCGTGTTTTTTTTTTAAGGTTCACTCCGTCAAAGGGGTTTCGGCACCATATTCAACTACTGACGTTGAATAAAAAAAATACTAGTTTTGCTTTATTAATTTAAAAAACGCGGTCTCCTTTATATTATATTTACACTGATTTTATTTCGAATAACGCACATAAGTGTATGTACAAACGTACTATATTGAGGTAAAGCAAGCGAATGATTGAAAAATTGTAAGCATATTATTTATAACAAAATACTTAGATTAGATTTACATTAACGGGAAAGGAGGGGAAATTTCGTTTTCCGTTTTTCCTTCAATTTTCTTTGCTTTACAGGAATTGGAAATTAAGGTACGTATCCCAGTGGATAATGGGTGAGTATTTCAGATAAGGGTAAACAATTCAAGGTGAGTTTAAAATTTCTTATATATATATATATATATTTATATATATATATATGTATATTTAATTTCAATTTTTCTTTTAGATCTCTATGAGATTGACACTCATGTCTTCAACACTAATCAACTTCTCCACAATTACTCTCATATATTCGTCGAGGATGGCAACAAGCCAGACAAGTCCCAATGATGTGACGAAGTGTTCCACTGGCAAAACGTAAGGCTGTATCTCAGAAAATAAATAAGCGAGAATAGTGTTATCAAACCGTCGCCGACAAGAAGAGGCCATGTATGCTGGATACGGATGCTAGTGGATAAGCGATAGGAGGCATACTATCACAGACGATTGGTGCACAGGAGAAGACCGTTGCGTACCATAGCCAGTGTTTTGGAAATTCAGAAATCCTGAAGTACAGCTAGATCAGTGGGTTCAGCGGCTGAAGAGTTATCACTCCACTATGGATTGTCGCACCACCAAACATATAGCTTGGAATGTAGAGACTGCTCAGAAATCGATGGGAAAGAAGACAATAGACATTCGGCTAAGGCTAATTATATCAGCAGAAGAGTGGGACATAAGTCACCTTCGGAGACGTCAACCATAGGATCCGGTCTTGGAACTTATAATTCACGGACTGGAGGACAGGCTACCAAGATAGGAGTAATTGTCTACGGTCCTGAGCTCCGGATGCTTACCTACTTACTTATATCCTTACTTACTTGGCTTAAACGATTTGAGCTGAATTTATAACGTCGGACCATCCATTCAATTTTTGCTGATTTGCGCCGATTGGAGACATCAAGTAGAGCCAGGTCCCTTTCTACCTAGTCTTTTCAATGGAGTGGGAACGTCGAGCGACTTTTACAGTTTGAATTTCGTTCGTCGGGAGAAGACTTAACTTTTTAATTGCCTACTCAATCCAAAGGGCACCTGTTGGCAAGAGCAATTCTGCGTTGAATTTTCAGGCTTATATTGCTCTTTGTGTTAACACTGCCTGGGAGCCAGGTCGCGAGTGCGATGACTGTTTGTTTGATCTTGCCCTCGTTCACTACCAGACCCATATCCTTGGCTTCATTACAAAGAAGAAAGAAGGCCAATAACTTGGCCTTCTCTATTCAGCTCAGCAGCTCGTAATATATTTTAAAACAAGAAGTCAAAAGTCACACGATAAGGAATCATAATGCCTGAAACCTCGTTTGGTATCGAACGTCTCGGATAGGTCCTTTCCTATCCTGACGAAGCTTTCTGTGTTGCTTAAAGTCAGTTTACATAGCCGTATAAGCTTTGCGAGGATACCAAATGCATACAAAGTGGCGTAAAGGCGGCTCCTTTTCATTTTGTCGAAGAGGGCCTTAAAATCGACGAAGAGGTGGTGGTTGTCGATCCTCTTTTCACCGGTCTTTTCCAAGATTTGGGCCATGGGGAATCTTACCAGGTCTAAGTCCACACTCAAAAGGTCCCATCAGGTTGTTGACGGTAGGCTTTCCTTCACACAGAACGCTCTACACCGCCTTTTTGGCGATATTCAGGAGGCTTATCCCACGATAATTGGCTTTCATGGGTCGGGCAGAGCACACTTAGGTTCCAATCATACATGCACCTTGTCAGATCTTCACCGTCATGTTTGAAAAGTTCTGCCGGTTGGTCGTCGGCTCCTGCCGCTTTGCTGTTTTTTAAGCGGGCGATTGCTTTCGAACTTCTTCATAGTTATCTCTTCTTGTTCTCAGTATTTATCTCATCCCGCATGTGTAGTGGTCGCTCTGGCAATCTGTTTCCTCTCCACTGCAACACGACAGTCGTTATCGTACCTTTCCGAAATCGAATAATTTCGTTTGCAGCTGTACGTAGGGAGTTTGAAATGGAGTCCCACAGCTCCCTTTTACTGGGTTGCTGATAAGTGCTCTCAGAGAGCAGGTGTCTAAGTCGAGTAGAAAGCCGATTGGGAGTCTGCTGTGATTGTAGCTCTTCGTCGTCAAACTTTCCTTGTGTTTGTTGACAGGCGTTCTCCGATACTCAGAGGCGCATGCGTATCTTTGCTGCAACAAATGATAAAGGTACGGGTCGGTCTTGGGTCTCGGGGTGTACGAACGTCAAGAACACTGGAGACATGTTTTCTGTCTATCAGAACATGATCGACAGAAGACAGCCAAGTAGCTTGATGCATTTTTTTATGCTGGAATCTAGTTCTACAGACACCCATATTTCGGGCCTAGATGAGGTCCATCAGCCTCAACCCTTTAGAGGATGTGTGAAGGCTGAAATTTTGGACTTTTGTGTCCACCCTGGCATTAAAATCACTTAGCATGATTTTCACATCGTGTCGAAGGCAGTGATCGTTAGTATGGTCTTGACGCTCATAAAAGGCGTCTTTGTCCACACCACACTTCTTAGATGGCGGGGGTGGCAATCAGAAGAGGGGTCTCTCATCCTAGGTATATAAAAAATTTGCAGTGGGTCTGGTTTCTATGTGGCGGGTTTGTACACATTTATATAGTGAGCCGCTTTCTTCAAGACCGATGTCAGCTCGCAGCCGCACCTCTGGTAAACAGACCCTTAAAACCAAGTAGGTCTGAGTGGATCTACTGAAGCTTCCTTTTTCATAAGTCGTGGCGCAAAGCTCCACACGGGATGATTCTCGAATCTTCCACAAAATGCTCACGTTTCTAGCGTGCGCGAGGTGAACGTAAGAGTGGGAATTGAGTATAGTCTTGGAACTGTAGCAGTAGCACTTCGGTTGCTAAGTGATTTGAATTTTAGAGTAAATGGTGATGCGAGAAGATTTGAGAAGGAAATGTCTTACGTCCTAGAGGAAGAGCTAATAAAACCTCCTGTGAGGCAGCGAACTCAAATTATGAGCGACAAGATGAAGGCAAGGTAAGACAACGTAATGGACTCGGAATGTTTTCATCTTAGCAATTTAGTGTTGTTATACAACTAACTATGGAAGAAAGGTTTGTACCGAAACTTAAATACATTTGGGAAGGTCCATATAAAATAATCAATCTGATAAAGGAAGTGGTATCGGTTTCAAAACTTTGGGAGACCAAGAAACAAAGTGAGTGTGGACCACTTGTAAAGGCTTGAAGCGTTTGGGACAGTGAATGTGTCTGATCGAGACGAGGGCAGTGTCATGCAAATGCCAAAAACGAATAACAAATGAATGAAATGGAAAGCTGAGTCGAGCACTATCAATTGGGTATATTAAAGAACGGCCAACGCAAGTGAGTTCACTTACAACGTAAGCTCGATCGTTACAACAATGGTGCAAAGAGAAAAAGTAGAGTGTAAAAGTTGTAAAATAAGTAATCGTGCACAGTAAAGTAAATAGTGATTTATTGAGTAATAAATAAACGTTGATTGAATTCTTTGCATTTACAACATTTAGATGTGACGTTTATTTAACAATCCAGTAGTCGAACGTGAAAGTTTTGTGAAACCATCAAGGCCTAATTAGAAAAAAACTTAGTAATATATATTTGTATAAAAAGTTTGTACAATATATAATGATAAGACATGTTTCATTAAGTATTCAAGTTCTTATAAACAAATTAAATTTAAAAGGATATATCTTTGTACATACGTGTATATTACTTCGTTTATATACGATAAAATATATTTCTGCATAAATATGGATATTAATGAACTTTTCATAAATTTTAGTTTTTAGAGGAAGAAAATTATAATATGTATATTGGGTCAGAAACAGCTATTTTATATATATAAATTAGAAGTAGATATGTATACACTGGCAAAGGGTACATTTGTGCATACAAATGCTTTTGATAAGAATTAAATACTTATGATTGAACATATGAGTTTCATTGGTACTTAAATATTATATGTGTACCGTAGTTGTAATCTTTTGCATTCAACCTTGGAAAATACAAACTACTGGCCTATTTATTATTTTCCTAACTTACATCATAACTGTTGTTCTGTAAAAAAAAAATGTTTTGTTAGTAAAATGTATAAACAAAAATCATAATTAAAATTGACAGAATTTTTTTTATTTATACTACAAATAATAAAAAGTAAGAACCTATTGGAGAATTTTCGTTACACTACAATTGGTTACAATAGGGCATAGCACGTAATTTTAACTTCATGACAAGTTGTAAAAATAAATCTTATGGAATGCGAACGACAATAATATAGTAATATTGATTTTGCTTTAACTGCCAAAACTCATTTTAATAAACAGCCGCATATGACCCCTAAGAACTATACCATTTATCATACCATCTACCCCTTCTATTTTGTGCGAAATCGAAACTATGAACTTTCCTATATTTAATACATATGATAACAACTGAAGTCTTACCTAATATAAACATCGACAAATAACCGTATGACTATAAAATTTGCGTATGGCAGGGCAGTTTTGACCGTCGGCAATTCTATAGACTACATTGTCCCATGAGCTCAGAAATAGCTTATTAATATGAACAAAGTGCATATTGTGTTTTTAAATTTAAAATATGATATAACTTAACACGGCCGCCTGCTGCCCAATTTTACTGTTCCCACAGAAAGCGGCTACGCGTGTCGCAACGTCAGTGTAATACGGTACTCATGGTAAGGCAAGGCCAATGCTACTCACACCTGGGCGGTGAACTCGCCCTTACGCAGAGAAACCTATAAAAGGCTGCGAACATTTTAGTTGCGGCAGTTGCGTTTGGGGTGTTATTCAAGTTACCTACACTTCATTTATCCTTGTGTAATTATAAGTTAAAACTAAATTTGTATTTATAAAAGTACCTTAATGTTTCAACTATGGACAGCTGGGCCTTTTATTTTTTTTAGTAAAATCTACTAATAGTTTTCACTTACATGTAAAATTTTAATTTTTCAGAGAAACCAAATATCTGGGAATGACGCTATGCTAGAAAGTACATAAAGGGAAGAAATGCGAAGAGATCGATTTAAAATTAATAAAATTAGAATACCTTATTGGCAGGTATGTACGTTAAGCTGACCATTTACAAACAAATTACTAGTCTATAAGCAGATGTAGATAATGAAGCCGGGCGGACCTATAGCATGCGATTCTGGGAAAGTGCCAACGACGTATGTATATTAATAAGTGACCTATCTATTCTAATGTTATAAATGAGAAAGCAACTATCTATGCATGTATTTAACGTTTTAACTCTAGAACCGCAGAACCTTTTTTATGTGAAATTTAGCACAGATACAGAGGAGACTTTGAGAAAGTACATAGGCTACTTTACATCTCCGAACTCCCATGGGAAATACCGGCAACAGGAATAAGAACCATCGCTTTTTTCGTTTAAATTTTATTATTATTTTGAATTAAGTTAAAAACATATGATATTTATACATATTTTTATAATAAGACATCTTTTCAAATTTAATATTAGCAATAAAAAAATATATATTTACATACAATTGAAAAACGTTTCGAGGTTTCATACACATTTCAAAGGTTAGTTAGATTTTCTTCAGCGTAATTCAATTTCGTTGTTATTGTCTTATGCCTAGAAAACGTAAATCTATTTTAGCGCGTATTTCATGCAGGGCTCGCGTTGCAAAAGTAGCCAGACACCAAGAGACTGAACAGGAGCCACAAAGCCGTCTTGAAGCAAGGTCACTCTTCACCTGATCCTTCCAACGGAGTGGAGGTCTTCCTCTTCCTCTCCTTCTGCTTTCACCAGCGGGCACTGTAACGGATCCCCTCAAAGCTGGAGTGCTTTCATCCATTCAAATCATGCCACCTAGCCACCGTAGCCCATATCTCTTCATTCGCTGAACTATGTCGATATCATCATTATGTTCGTACAGCTCATCGTTCCATTGTCTGCGGTATTCGCCGTTGTCAATGTGCAAAAGGCCATAAATCCTTTGCGACTTTTAGAGTTTGGTTTTCGTTCGTCGAGAGAAGACTTTACACTTCAATTACCTGCTCAGTCCAAAGTAGCACCTGTTGGCAATAGTGATTCTGCGATAAATTTTCAGGCTGACATTGTTATTGGTGTTAATACTGATTTCAAGAAAGACGAAATTATCTACCACTTGAAAGTTATAACTGTCAACGGTGACGTGGGAGCCGAGTCGCGAATGCGATGGCTGTTTGTTTGATGACAGGAGATATTTCGTCTTGCCCTCATTCACTACCACACCCATTTTCTTCACTTCTTTATCGATTCTGGAGAAAGCAGAACTAACGGTGTGGTTGTTGAGGCCAATAAAGTCAGTATCATCGGCGTACACCAGCATCTGCACAATCTTATAGAAGATTGTGCCTTCTCTATTTCGCTCTGCAGCTCGCATTATTTTCTCCAGCAACATCGTTTGGTATCGAACGGCTCGGAGAAGTCCTTCCCGATCCTAGCGGAGTATTTTGTGTTGCTTTACCTCAGTTTACATAGCCGTATAAGCTTTCCGTGGATACCGGTTTCAGACAAAGCGGCGTAGAGGCAGCTTCTTTTCATGCTGTCGAAGGGGGCTTTAAAATTGACGAAGAAGTGGTAGGTGTCTCTGATCATTGGTTGCCTTACCAGGTCTTTAGCCATAATAATAAGATCAATTCTGTTCGTTGACGATAGGTCTAAGCCTTTCACACAGAACGCCTTAAAGGCAATATTAAGGAGGCTTATCCCACGATAATTGGCGCTGACTGTGGGATCACCTTTTGTGGATTGGGCAGATACTTAAGTTAAAATCGTCGGGAATGCTTTCATCCGATCATATTTTGCATAGGAGCGGATGCATGCACCTTTAATCCATTGGTCCCAACCGCTTTGTTGTTCTTTACGTGAGCGATTTCTTTTCAGACTTCTTCATATGCGAATAATGGAACAACTCTTCCATCGTCATCAATTCGAATTTCGGATTCACCTACTCCAGGTGTTTTATTTTGACTGCCATTCAACAGGCTGGAGAAGTGTTCCCCTCATATAAATTCAATATACATTTCGGCCTCTTTCTTTCTATGCGTGCAGATGCGTCTTGCTTTCCTCTTCAGCTCACGGTATCTAACCCACCCTACACGTGATGTGGTCGATCGCAAGATATCGAGGTAGGCAGTCTGTTTTTTCAGTCCTCATCGCACCAGCTGTTTTTGTGACCTTTCCGGAATCTAATAGTTTTGTTTCCAGCTCTACGTAGAGATTTTGAAATGCCGTCCCACAGATAACTCGGACGGCGGTGATGTCAGCCTTATTTTATGAGGACATCAACTAGCTGGACAGCGGCACCTTCCTATTTAAGGGACCGGACATTCTTTGGTCCTTAAAACCTTTGCGAGGGTCGTCAGTAAAAGGGGGTATTTCATCCGAGGCTTAATTAGTTTTTTCAATGGGTTAAGATTTTCATATGGTGGGTCTCAAACCCTACGCACAACTACCTGGTAAGCCCGCCTGCAAACGGATGTTTATTGGCTACCCACGAGAGTAACATATAAGTTAACACAGTCTAATGTTCCGTAAATGTAAATTGTTTAGACTACATTGTTGCAGTCATTTCCGCAACTAAGCAAAATATAAAAGACGATACCCGATACTTCTACTTGTGGAATCGAGTCATAACAAACAATTCAAACCGTGGGAATCGCTGAGTCAACATACCCACAGGCGAATACTAATAACAAACGTAACAAGAGCGACGACAGCGGCGACGACGGTGATAGCTGTAGCTTAGGATATAAATAAGTTAGGGTAGAATAGTTAGTTTAAGAACAGACTCATTAAAGCACACAAGTGCTCAAAAATTATTGGCGCCCAACCGTGGTTTGAAACTACGACCGAGTAAGCAAAAGAATAATACCAACAACTGAATCACTTGAAGGAGGCTGAAAGAATATTACCGACAACTGAATAACTTGAAAGAGGTTGAAAGAATATTACCAACAACGGAAACAATTGGAGGAGGCTAAAAGGAATTACCAACACCCGGATCAATTTCAATGTATAGCTTAATAATATTTGCGTAAGTAGAGTGCTCAATTTATTTTTCCTTTCAAAGTGATTCGTGGAAAATTGATTAATAGTGACAGTGTTGCGCTCTAATAGAGAAACGTATAGAGTTTTGCTGGTGGTCTAATTTGTAGTTTCGTGATCCCAACGATTTGATGAGCGATAGTTATCTTGAGGGTTTATTAGAAAAGATCGGTAGTTTGCAGATCGCAAGAAATAGAAATATAGGTGTAATGGACGCAAACCAAATAACCGCTTTAGTACAGGCTGCCGTAAAAGGCGCACTGCAACAGCAACAGGAGTCCTTTGAACACAAATTGACACGACTGAAGGAGCAAATTGCCACTTTAACCACAGTAAAAAAGACACATACGTACGAGCCTGTGAAAAACATTGCAGGCATCAAATGTGAGGAACCTTTAGACCTGGTTAAGTCATTGCCAGAGTTTGACGGTCAAGTCAGCACCTACGTTTCCTGGCGTCAGGCCATCCACACGGCTTATGAGGTGTTTCGAAGCCATCAGGGCAGCTCTAGGCATTATCAAGCCGTAGGAATAATTAGAAATAACCTAAAGGGCTCCGCTGATGCCGTTATAGCATCTTTTGCATCTTTTAATACTGTACTGAATTTCGAGGCGATCATTGCCAGATTAGATTTTACCTATTCGGACAAGCGTCCAATATATCTCATAGAACAGAAACTTTCTACGCTTCGACAGGGCAACCTGTCAGTCCTGAAATATTTCGACGAAGTGGAGAAGAAGCTAACTCTTCTCACAAATAAAACCATAATGACACATGAGGGTCCCATTGCGGAATCAATCTGCACAAAGTATAGAGCAGACGCGCTTAGAGTATTCATTTCTGGTCTAAAAAGACCATTGTGTGACATCCTCTTCGCTTCTCGACTTGATGACATGCCGGGTGCTCTGGCCCTGGCCCAGGAGGTCGAGGCAAATAGAGAACGATATGTGTTCACTTCAAACTTCGCTGAGTTTGCTGAAGATCCAAACAGATTTAAGAAGATCGGTGATAAAAACTTAGAACAGAGATTGCGAAACCCCCAAAAAAATCCACATTTTTTTAATAGACAGCCGAAAAGGAACGGCAACGAAAATGATCAACAAGATCAACTAGTACCGATGGAAATAGATCCATCAGAATCACAGTTTCGCCATAGTTCTAATTGACGGCAGTCACAAAAAGTAAATCAACAAGTGTACCGAAACAATTACAAACAGAGCCCTAAGTCTAACCAACAACAACAATTTGGAAAGCGACAGGCAGAATCAGGTAGGAATACTGGACCTAAAATCCAGAGAATAAATAATTTAAGCCAAGGTAACCAAGACACAGCCTACAATCAAGAGGCGGAAGAAGAAATAGAAAATCTCGAAGAGGAAGAACTAAATTTTTTAGGGGGAAGGCCCTGCTTCCGTGAATCGAACGAGGAGTATGGGACCAAGGCAGAAAAATAAAACTATTAGTGGGCACAGGGGCGTCTAAAAACTATATTAAACCTTTGCCCGAGTTTAAAAATAATATCCCAGAATTCACACCTTTTCTGGTTAAGTCACTGCACGGAAATATTCATGTGAATAAGAAGTAAATAATCAAATTATTTGGTGTATGGGCGGATTTCTTCATATTGCCTAACGTTCGATGGTATTATTGGACTGGATCTATTATAACGGGTAAATACTCAAATAGATCTGAGGAGTGGAGTAATACGACACGATTTTGGAAACGAAAAATTGTTGTTCCACGAGTGCGTGAATGCTACTATAAGAACAAAAAACGAAGAGCCGATATATTCTAGGCTCTACCCATACCCTATGAGTGTGGCCGAATTCGTCAACGGAGAGTTAGCCGATTTGCTGGCTAAAGACATCATTCTCCCTTCCAGATCACCTTACAATAGTCCGATTTGGGTTGTTGACAAAAAAGGGATAGACGATGCAGGGAATAAAAAAAACGGTTAGTTATCGACTTTAGGAAACTAAATGAAGTCACAGTTGAGGACAAGTATCCGAAGCCTAACCCAATGGTGATATTTTCAAACCTAAAGGGAGCACAATACTTTACCACACTTGATCTGAAATCTGGATTCCATCAGATTTAGTTGATAGAGAGAGACAAAGAAAAACTGCCTTGTCTGTAAACAACGGCAAATACGAATTCTGCAGTCTACCCTTTGGACTCAAAAACGCTCCAAGCCCATTTCAGAGAGCGATCGATGATGTTTTGAGGGAGCAAATTGGCAGGACCAGATTTCACAAAACCCTTTGACTTGACGACCGATGCACCTTCTAGAGCTGTACTCTCACAAGGAAGAAAACCCATTGCCATGATCTCAAGAACTCTAAGAGATAGGGAAGAACATTTGGCAAAAAATGAAAGAGAGCTCCTGGCAATCGTGTGGGCCCTCAACACTTTGAGAAACTACTTGTATGGTGTAAACCAGTTAAACATTTTCACTGACCACCAGCCTTTGACATATGCAGTCTCAGATAAAAACCCTATCGCGAAGATCAAGCGATGGAAATCCTTAGTAGAAAGCTTCAATGCAAAAGTTTTTTACAAGCCAGGGAAGGAGAACCATGTTGCCGACGCCTTGTCGAGATAACACATGAATATGGTGGAGGTTGGAATGGAACCAAGCTCTGACTGCGCCACCGTACATAGCGAAGAGTCCTTGACGTATACCATCGAAACGGTGGATAAACCTTTTAAGTCCGTCAAAACAGACCTTTATCCTGTTCGGTTCGAAGCCTAGACATATTGTTTCATTCCGTGACATAGATTCGATTATAGACACACTATAAGAAGTGATTAATGACGGTGTGGTTAATGCAATACACTGTAGCCTACCAGTTCTGGCGAAGATNTGCCGGCACCCCCGACTTCGACGACTATCAGAGACTTCAGATGAAACAGGACATACTTGTCGACTCGAACAACAAACAGTACAGGATAAATACCCACATTAAGCAAAAGATTT